CCGGTAAACATATTTTTGCCTCAAAGTTTACTTGCATGTTAATTTGTGTTTTACAGAAAACAAGATACTTTAGTATATCCAACAATTTTCAGTCAGGTCATCTGGACAGTTTCTTTTTTTTTTTTTTTTTTTTTTTTTTTGCTGAAATGTTTCACCTTCCATCCTGAAGGCTTCATCAGTCAAGTAAACACACAACACAAGACTGATTCTTCCCCCAAACAGCTTACTCCAAAGTGGAACAAACCAGTTATGTTGGTGCTAAGATGGTGTGTTTGGCTCGCCCCCTCCTCTGGAGCCGGCCCTCTTCCTCGTCGACAGTCATGTCGAACTGGTTCAAAACTAAAACAGTCCATGCTCAATAATCCAGGTATACAATCCAACAATTCCGGATGGAAGGTGAAACGTTTCAGAAAAAAAAAAAGGAACTGTCCAGATGACCTAAATGAAAATTGTTGGATTGTACACATGGATTATTGAGCATGGACTTTTTTTTGATACTTTAGTATAGTTTTCAATATCAGACATTTATGATTTTCAGTTGCATGTCTGTGACTCAGCAGCCAACTTGTCATCTTTAGTCTTCTTGTGTCGAAAATGATTGATGCTGGGGTGTAAATGTAAAAAATAGAAACCTTGTTATTTTGTATTCAGGAGGTTCTTTAGGCAGAGACATTTGCAATTATCCCAAATGGCCCAAACCGTGTTCCAGCGGTTATCTGTGCTCATTAAAACACCGACTGCCTCGCCTCATATCAAGACGCACGGCCAGATAAATGGCCAGCTCTGTGAAACAAACGCTCAGCTTCAGAGGCACAAGTGTTTTAATTACTTACGTTGATTTTCTCACATTACACAGATACAGCAGCCGGATTGTAAATCAGATGAGCGCTGAGTGGAAGCTGAAAACAGCCAGGGAGAACATGCAGTGGCTAATAAATGCTTTAAACAGGAACAGATGAGCCTATTAGAAAAAGTGCTCCTGTGGAACACTCATCCAGTCAAACTTTGCATGAGAGATTTTAAATTGCTGCTGAAATCGCCTTGGTGGAGGTCAGCCATGCGGTCTATCAGACTTTGTGACATTTACATCTTGTTTGTGCAGCGCAGTCAACAATGAAGCAGATGAAAACATGCTCATTAAAGCACCTTCAAACTGGCAGGTGAACATTTCTGAACTTTAGGACTTGATTAAAAAGCTTCTGTTTCCCTAAAGAGAATATTGTCTGTCTAAAACAGGTTTCTCTTGAGAATGAGTTGAAAATGAGTCCTCGTGACTCAGTGAGAGTAGTCTGTATACATAAATGCTGAATGAATTATAAAAAGTCTTGTCCTTTAATTCAGGAGAAAGAGATGGGGGGAAAAAAAAAAGTTATTGTCCTCGGTCGTGGAGCAGAGGGGAAACTGGAAACACCCTCCGTCCATCCATCTGTCTGTATGTCCATCTGTACATGTTGTGTGCATGATAACTTGGAACAATAAGTTGGGTACCGACTTCCATTTTTGTGTTTGACTGCATGTAGTGTAAACAAGATCCCTCTCAAAAAATGGGTTGCCAAGTCAAAATCCAAGATGGTCACAGTTTAGTTGGTAGTTGGATGGGATTACCCCTTTCTGGGGGTCTTTCCTGATCAGGATTGTCCAGCTTTGGATCAACTTGGGTATTTGTGCTCCCTCCTCCTATTCACACAGAGTAACTCCTACCAACTTGAATATCTTGCACCAAAAACATTAAAGTTTACTTGCATTCGCTGTTTGATTCCAGTCCTGAAAAACACTCATCTCTGAAATTCAAAACATTCACTATTCAAGTCCCTCAGCACTGGTGTAGTGCTTGTCTAATTTGTTTTGTGCTTTAACCGCAAAAAAAAAAAAAAAGGGTTAGTTCCCAACACTGGTCCTTGAGGAACGCCATACTGCATGTTTTAGCTGTTTCCCTGCTCCAGCACAACTGATTCAGTGATTTAATTACTTCTTCAAGTTCTGTCGAAGTCTGCTAATCACACGCTCATTCAAATCAGGTGTGGGACACAACTAAAACATGCAGGATGGCGTTCCTCAAGGACCAGGGCTGGGAACCACTGAGTTAGATGCTAAGCATGAACAAATGCTAATTTAATTAACTTTAAAAAAAACTGCAGTTTTCTATCTGTGTCCTGCACCCAAACAAGAAGATGAGAGACAAACAAATAAAGACTTTGCTTTCTATTTCTAGAACAATCAATAGGCCTGAAAACGCACACACACACACACACACACCACACACACACACTGCTGCACCAGTCAGGACTGTTTTGTTCCCTCAGGCCCAGTGAGAAGCTGATTGGGCTCCCTGCTCGTGTTGTTCCGGCTCCTCGACCTGCTGTTGCCTCTTCCGAGCCATGCTGACGAGGCACCGTTTTTTTTTTTTACTCTTATTACTTCCAATATAATTCATGTGTTCATGTACAGAAAGAACTCCTGTCAGCACGCACGCAGTCTGTTTTTATTTTTACTTGACAAAGGAATCCTCTAAACATAAGAAGCGTTGAACGGTTTTGTATAATTGTTATACATTTGAAACAGCTTGCTGTCTGCAGAGCAACATTTAGAGCTTGGAAATATAAATTCTAGCCGAACTTCTCAAGAGCTGGGCTTTTTCAAACAAGTGAGAAAGCGTCCAAACAATGAAAAGCAATAATAAAATCGATGTTTGGTAAGTCCAGAGTGGAGGAACAGTACACCCTGCTCCGTGGAGATGGGGTCTAAAATAGCAGCACTGAAAGAAAAGACTGAAAGGAAACAAGAAAACATGAAACCTTAGAGATCGAATGATTGAATTCAAGCACACCATTAGCAGGAATAATAAAAATAACTCTTCCCTATAGAAGCTGTGGATGATATGTTGATTTCTTGCTTATTAAATTAAAGGCTTAGCGTTTTTTGAAATAATGCTTATCACCCACCATCTTTCAGGCCAAAGTTTAGTCCATGATGTGGACCAGCGACAGAGTTAATCCAGTACTTAATCAGCCGTTGTGCTCTGATCAGATTCCAAGATGGAAACTAAGCAGAGGCAACAACAGACGATTGTGCCACAAAGCTCTGTCAGGTCTCGCTCACGAAGAAGGCCGTGAATATGCAGAGAATTGTGGGTAAAAAAAAAAAAAATAATGTACCTGTCCAGTTTTTCTCGATCTTGACAGTGAAAAGAGAATGCAGGACTGTACTAATAAGTAAAACCTCCATTTGTCTGTAGTGACAGCTAGCTGAGAGTTGTTGTTTGACACAGAACACGGCTCCATTAAGAGCGGGGGAGGTGGACGGAGCTGCCTCAGCCTGACTGATGAGGCGGAAACTGGCTGCAGGAACAATGATCTGTCAGTCGCTAGAGTTTGAACTCGCTGTTTGTCATCTCTGCAGCAAAGCTCAGCTGAAGCCTTTTCTTATGCACTGATTGGTTTTTAACGCGTTTATTCATGCACGAGTGAAATTCACCTTTTTTTTTTTTTTTTTTTTTACAGTTTTGATTCTGAAGATTGACCTTGAAGCTGTTTAAACACTCGCAGAATTTACTCTTTTTTTTTTATATGCGTATGTATTTATTATTTTTCATAAACCTGTGGTGACTCAGTGTTGCCACATCTTGTTTGCAGAAGCTCTGCGTGCAGCTGATTTTGCTGCGGTTTGAATTTCATGCATGCGTATATGAATTAGGGCCGAACGATTTAGGAAAATATTCTATGCGATTGATGCGATTTAATATGCAATACTCATGCAGGTCCACGACTGTGGAATGAGTTGCCACTGAGTGTCCGGCAGGCTCCCACACTCTCAGTCTTTAAGTCTCGCTTGAAGACCCACTTCTATTCGCTTGCCTTTAACATGGTGTGATTTGTTTTGGTCCGGTCTGTTCTCTACTCTGTTGGCCATTTTAGTTAGCTTCTGCTGCTATTTTTTTTCATTTTTCATTTAGCCTTTATTTATCCAGGTTAGTCTCATTGAGCCACGAGAACTCATTTTCAAGAGAGACCTGTTTTTTATTTGTATCTGTATTTCTATTTTATGTTTTCCTGTCCGCTGTGCATGTTTGTGTTCTTTTGTACAGCACTTTGGTTGGCCTTGTTGCTGTTTTAAGTGCTATATAAATAAATTGGTATGGTATGGTATGGTATTGTTCAATGAACACAAGCAATAAATCTGTTTCAGTTGCAAAAAAACTCCACTGTTTTCAGCTCCGTTGCAACTTCGTTTCTGCATTTTTTCTATAGCTCCAGGATAGCAACTCGGCTAAAATGTGTGCATGTGGGCGTTCTGTACCGCTTATCCATTGCGCTTACCAAAGCTGTAAACCCAGGCTTTGTCACTATATTAATGGGCATCAAGTCTTTCGCTATGAACTCCGTTATTGCTCGAGTTATTTCCACGTGCTGTTTTGAATTATATATGGAGTAATACCTTGGAACAGTTCGGTCAGTGATCCCTGTCGGCTGCTACTTTGCTTACTTGAAGTTGAAGCGCTGCTCGTTGGCGTTCTATCCATGCAACTATCATAAATGGCTTTGTGGTGTTGTTTAAGTGTTGATGAAGAGTTGCGGTGTTACCTCGAGAGGTAGCAACAGCAGCGAGGCAGGTTCTGCACAATGCATGTCACTGTGCAGCGTCTTCTTTTTTTATAGCCAAAATAATTCCAAACAACGGACGTGCTGCCCGTCTTTGGTACCAAACTTTCAGATGTGTCAGCTTCTGTCGAGCCTGACGCCATCGTGCAACTGGTTAAAACACACTTCTCCCACTCCCTGCTCCGCTCCGCTCCGCTCACTCGCAAGTCACGTAACCAGATCACGTGACCAGTCAAATCGCAGCCTTCACGATTAGAAAATCTAATTTTATCATATCGCGATATTATCGCTAATGCAATTAATTGTTTTTACATTTTATTTTACATTTTGACTTCTGTGTATTTTTAGGTTCAACCTATTCTAATTCACGTGGAATAACATTTTTTTTTATTATTATTTCAGTATGAATTCAAGGTTAAAAACATCAAGAAGAAGAAAGTCCACATCGTGGTATCTGTTGATGGCGTCAAGGTTACCTTGAGGAAAAAGAAAAAAGTAAGTGACCGATTTTTGATTTGTTACGTATCTATTTGGTTTTTATATTTAAATCCATTTTTTAGCTGATCAACTGTTGGAGGCTAGTTGTCGACTCAAAATTGTAAAAAATGTGAGAGAAAATGGGAAAACTTTCCTTTTTGCATACTTATGAATTACTGTGTGTTTTACCATAACAAATTATTTTTAAAGCACTTAAAATACAACAAGCAGCCGTCCAAAGTTCTGTACAAAATTAAAAACAAACAAAAAACAGTAAAACAATAAAAACACCTAAATATATATTTAAAAAAAACAATCAGAACAGTTTTCCATTAAGTGACTGTGAGGCTGTTTTAATAAAAAAAAAAATAAATAGTGGTGTATTTTCATGTGCACTACTTTCAAAACCATATTCTTGGTTGTGCACATTATTTCATGGATCTGATTTTAACTGTCATCACAGCTTTCCCCACAATTAAGAGTTAATCTACTGGAGCACAATCTAAAAATTCAGATAAACTCATTTGAACCTATTTTTTTGTTGTTTTTAATAGAATAATAGTAATTATAAACTGAGACACTTGTAAAAAAAAAAAAAAGGGGGGGGGGGGTGCCTTCCGTGGCCTGCCAATGATTTAAGTGGTTTAAAATATAATTCACTCTTAGTGTTTATAAATTGCAACATTAAACGGTAAATTAAAGTTTTGACCCAATTAAACATAAATTAATTAAACTTTCATGACTTCAGTTTGAATAGTTTGCTGTGGTGAAAGCTCTTAATTTCCAAGGTATGGCTGAAGTATAATAACTTCTGTATTTAGTAAATAAAAATATTAGCGAAGGTTTAATAAAAAAAAAAAAAAAAAATTGGTTTACTGGAATAAACAACATTTTTTTTGATGGAGGGTTCACGGTTTTTAATGTCCTTGAAGTTAGAAATGTCAGACGTTACAGTCGGCGATCTATTTCCATCCCTGAAGACGTTGGAGGCATTGATGGACTGGAGATGAGAGCGACTGAATGAACTGAGTCAACAAAGGGGGGCTGTGAAGACACAAATCAATAGGAATAATGCCTGCATGCCCGTGGCTTGACATTTTGATTGTGACCTTAAACTGAAAGATGAATTTAACCAAACGGATAAATAAAAGACGGGAAAAAATTATAATTCACATTACAGGCTTTGTGTAATTAAAGTTTTGTTTTGGGTGTGTGTTCTTACAAAATGTTTCTATCGGTCTTATTTTTTTCTTCTGTTTAACAGAAGAAAGAGTGGACATGGGATGAAAGTAAGATGATGGTGATGCAAGACCCCATCTACAGGTAAGATGACCTACATGCCTAATTCTATTGTTATTTTGTTGCTTAACGGTTTGTTTTTTTATCTTATCTTTAAATTCCAAGTTTAAAAAAAAATCTAATTACCATCTTATTGAAGTTTTTCCCTTAAACATTTTATCTGTATATAAGTAAATATTCTGTAGTTACTCATAAAATCTTTATTGAACCTAATCTAACATTAAAAAATGAGTTATTTGATGATAATTTTAATGACTCTGGAAAAGAACAAAGTTATCCTTATCTCTAGAAGAGGGAGGTGGCTGATCATTACGCTGAGCTGCGTTTAGTTCTTAGTTTTGGCCAAGGCAGTTTAGCAGATTTTCATATTAAATTAATAATTTAGCATCCATAAAGACACGCATATCCTTTCATGCCAAAGTTTCAAAAACTAAAATCATCTCTGATCTAAAGATGACAGGGCTGTAGCTGTTTTGGTCAGTCCTTGAAAATATTTCTCACACTGTCACGCTCAGAGTATGTGTCATGAATCACTCTCACCTAAAACCACATCAAAGGTTGGGTACCGGTAAATATCTGTAACACTTAAGTTATAGCTTTTTTTTGTGTCAGTTGTAAACTGAAATAAAGTTTAATTAAAATCAGTCCAGTGGTTCATGCGATATTTTTCTCACAGACTGTTGCTCATTCCAATAGTTAACGCTGACTTTTATACCTTATGCAATGATTAGAACACTGCAGGTAATAATGTCCTGAGAGCGCACGCTGTTCCTGCACTCATGCACATGTAGGAGGAGATGTATGAAGGCATCAGACCAAGAAGTGATTTAAAGATGAAAATGTACCAGTGACAGAGTCTGCGTGACGTTAATGATGACCAGTTAACCAGTGAATACAGGTTGCAGTGATGGGTATTGTAGTTACAGCCAGTTATGAATCTTTGTGCACCATAATAGAGAGCATCCAACATCTGAAAGGTGCTGGCAGGAGCATTCATGTAAATGATGTCACCGTAGTCGATGGAGGGGAGGAATGTAGCAGTTACAAGGTGTTTCCTAGCGTTCAGAGTTAGACAGGATCTAATTCTGAAAAATAAACCCAGTTTTACTTTACCAAGTTTACGACATGAGGCTTGAGAAAGAGATGCGAATCGACCAAAATACCCAAATATTTATAAGCATCGACAAACTCAAAAGGGACACCATTTGAAGATAAAATAGAAGAATGGACTGCTGATTCCGACTTCCTGTTTGTAAACATCCCTTTGGTTTTATCAGCATTTAGCACAAGTCTGAGATGGAACAAATCTTACTGGATGATGTCGAAAGCAGACTGTAAAAGCTGGAAAACCTTAGCAACTGTTCTAGCTCGACAATAAACAACTGTATAATCGGCATAGAAATGTAAGAATACATCAGGAATGAGCTGACCTACATATGTAGATTGTGAAGAGGGTGGTTCCTAAGACAGAACCTTGTGGTACACCATTGTTAACAGATAACTGGAAGAACTACCATTATGTTGAATGACACAAGATGTCATGGTCCACAGTGTCAAAAGATTTAGACGGGTCTAAGTAAAGTGCAGGACAATAGTCCTCAGCATCCAGTTCTTCAACTACATCATTAAAAACTTCAGCAAAGCAGTCATGCTGTGTTTCCTGAAACCAGATTGATGTGGAGGTAAGATGTTAAAATAATCCAAATATTTGTTTGTGTGTTGAGAATTACGTTCTGCTACTTCAACACTAAGCTTTAGCAGAATATCTGTAGGCCACCGTAATTTCCAGACTATACGCCGCTACTTTTGTCACAGGCTTTGAACCCTGCGACTTATACAATGCTGCAGCTAATTTATGGATTTTTTTTTTTTTTTTTTTTTTTTTTTTGTATGGCCTAACAAGCGTCATGCTGCCAAAACATTTTGCTTCCTCACACCCAGGCGCTCACATAGCTGCCCAATATATGTATCTCTTGGAGGGGTGGGGGTCGGGGGGGTGGATCCTTGTGATTGAATGAGACTACCTGTATAAATAAAGGTTAAAAAAATTAAAAATCAGACCAATGAAATTATCAAATAGGTCACAGTGGATCAATAAAACTTCAATTTACCATAAATCAAACACACTCACACTAAATTCTTCAGATCAGTTATTTTGCACTTCATGCGCACACCTTCATCATGGAAAACACATGAAGAAATCAACAAAGTCCATGCTCAATAATCCAGGTATACAATCCAACAATTTTCAGTCAGATTATCTGGACAGTTTATTTTTTTGTGTTGAAACGTTTCACCTTCCGTCCAGAAGGCTCCTTCAGACTGAAAATTGTTGGCTTGTGTAACTGGCTTATTGAGCATGGACTTTGTTGGTTTTGAACCCGTTTGACATGACTGTCGATGAGGGGGAAGGCCGGCACCGGACAAAGGGGCATGCCAAAGAGACCATCTTAGCACCAACATAAATGGTTTGTTCCACTTTGGAGTAAGCTGTTTGGGGGAAGAATCAGTTTTGTGTTGTGCGTTTCCTTGACTGATGAAGCCTTCTGGATGGCAGGTAAAACATTTCAGCACAAAAAAAGAAACTGTCCAGATGACCTAATTGAAAATTGTTGCACATGAAGAAATGCACATGATGCAACTTTCAAGTTAAAGGTGATCGATCTGGCTGTCGAAGAAGGACAGAGAGCTGCTACATGTACGCTAGGCGTTTCCTGGTACTGTATTTATTTATTTATTTTTTAATTAACCAGCCGTGTTACATGGACTGTTCAGAAAAAAAAAAAAAAAACTATACATATGTGTGGATTTTACTGATGTGTATTGACTTAAAATTTTAAAAAACATTACCGTGTAAATATTTAATGTTACAAAATGTACACCCTCTGCTTAGAGACATGCAGCCTATATATATGTATGTTTTTTTTGTTTTTATTTAACTTAGTGGGCGCGCCTTATATTCGGATGCACACAATAGTCTGGAAACTACAGTAACTGAGTTATACCATTTATGTTTTCTATCGTCAATTGGCTATGGCAGTCATCTTAAATCAAGTTGACTCCAAATTCATAAAAAAAATCTGTCCAGTGGTTCATGAGATATTTTGCTAACAGACAAGCACAGTTGTCTCTAAATAAAAAATAACAAAAGCCCCTTTGAGCTCAGAATATGTGTTGGTGATCATGCTCAGCTACTACCAAACCAGATTCAAGGTCTGTAAATTGACTTATACACATAAATGGATAAAAACATTATCGCCCACGTTTTGGCCGTAATAATGTTTTTTTTTTCAACATTGCACACAAGAAGTTGAAGCAATGAAAAAAAAAAATCTTTAAGTGTTATTTATTTTTCCTGATAGCATCAAAAATGTCCTTTTATGACACCAAAGAATTCTGTTCACACCTCTGCTGTTCATTTATTTATCAGATTTTGGCTCCGGTTACCGTGTTTTCCGGTTATTTGAACCAAAGACTTGAGTGCAGTTTTCCCTCCAGCGAAGCAGACTGTGCTGCCAACAGCAGCAGCACTTTTCTTTTGATTGTTACCCTGGGATCATATCGGAGTGCTGTTTATTTTAAGACTCTCAACAGACAGGATCATAGCCGAAGCTTGTTCTGATGAGCATAATTTACTGCAAATGGTTTGGATCAAAGAACCGGACCCAGGCTTTCACCTCGGAGGATGTGGAAGGAGTTCGCTTTGGGTGTGGATCGTTGCTGTTTGGAGTTGCTGCCCATTTCTGGGAATTTTTGAGGAGACCAAAAACTTTATTAGGGTAGATATTATCGTACACTGCTGGTTCAAAACAACCACCATAAATAAGCAAATATAGCAAAATGTTGGTATGGTAGTAGCTGAGAGTCACTCACAGCACATACTGAATGCTTTTTATCTATTGTAGACAACTATGCACAGACAAGCACAGATATCTTATCCATGCAAAATATCTCATGAGCTACTGGACTCATTTTAATGAATTTCTTTGGAACTTTTTTATTGTGTTTGCATCTACAGCTGATTGATATTATATTATGTTATTTATTTGTCATATGCAGGTTAACACGAGGTCAACAGTGCAAATGAAATATTCAGGATGAGAAGAACCGATTTGACTCGCTATAAGCAAACAAAAAAACAAGAAATGCTAAAGCATGCAATAAGGGTGCAAATAATATACCCAAAAGTGAAAAATAAATATAATATTTACAAAGTCCAAAAGCCAAATAGTAAACAACAACATGGTAGAATATAACAGTGCAAGTAGGATTAATTAGTTTGAATAAGTATTTCACAGGTAGTAATATAAGCATAAGTCAAAGTTTCTTTATTTGTCATATGCACCACATGTGGTACATGTGGTGGAATGAAAATGAAAGAGTTGGGACAAACATTTTATTCTTATTTTTTTTAGCTTTGTACATATGTGGTATTAGTATATATGAAATGTTAAAGTTGTACTTTATTCAAAGATGTGAAGTACCGGGAAGCCCAAATCTTAGGTTTGGTAAGAATGGATTCTCTTCTGACTGGTTGGTTCAGCAAATGTGTACTTTTTTGTAAAGTCTGTATTTTTTTCTTTGAGATTTTTTGTTAAGCTTTAGACGTCTTTGTGGGAATTATTTATGTTCAGAAAGGCTGAACAACAGAGCAGCTGTTCTCACAGCATAAAACACACATTTCTGTTCCGAGATCAATAGCTCACATTCGGACCTTAGAAATAAACATACACGAGGAAGTAAAAAAATTAAGGAATTAGTTTTGATCAAAGCAAACTGATCCTTGAGCTTTTCAAATGCCATTGGTTTTTACTGGTATCATTTTCTAAATTCATTATCTTTTTTTTTTTTTTCTCAAGAAGGCAAACCTTGTTTGAATGTTTGAAAAGAGATATTGATTAATGGTTCTTCAGGGTTGCTGAAGGACTTCCAAAGTTTTGATTCAGAAGTTTGCTGCTTCTCATAAAACTGCAAAAAAAAACGAAAATGTGCATTTGTTGGAAAGAATAGCATCGCACCTTGAA